ATCTTTTTGCATTTACCCTTGACATTATTGAATCTTTTTGAAACAACTTTCCATTTAAAATGTCTACTAACGGTTCAGATGACTACCAACCAGCTGAAATTCCTGATAACGTTCAATGCGAACATTGAACCTTATAGATTATCTGAAATATTTTCGATTGTACCCGAGTACGATGGAAACCCGATATTGTTATCGACCTTCATCAACGCATGCCGAAACGGCATATCAAATGGCCGTCGAGGAGCAGCGGCTTCTCGTCGTTTTACATATTAAAAACAAACTTCGCGGACGTGCCGCCGAACTTGTGAATAGCCGAAACCCTTCCACGTGGGAAGACATACGGTCCCTGTTAGAAACGCACTTTGGAGATCTTAGAGATCTCACATCTTTAATCGCGGATCTTCAACACATGCGCCAACTCCCCAACGAATCACCCCTAATCTTTGCATCTAGACTGCAGACGCATGCAGCCAAAATGCATTCCGCCGTGAATAGACAAAATCTAAATCGCGAGCAAAAATCTGCTCAAAGTTCCCTCATCGAAACGATGACTTTAAATTGTCTATTAACAGGATTAGACTCAAAAATAGGACCTGTTGTGCGATCAGGGACATCCCACGATATCTTGACCGCAGTTTCGTATATCAAACGAGAGTTACAACTTTCATATTTGGAACGACAAAAATTCGCCAGGGACCCCAAACCCGAATCAAAATTCAGTTAATCGAAGACCAAACCCTAAAATTTGTAATTTTTGTAATCGTCCCGGTCACTTAGCAAATGAATGCCAACGGAGACAACAGCCTACAAGCTTTGCCCCAAGACAGTTTAACCAGCCCCAACCTCAAAATTACCCTAGGCCGAATCAACCTATGCAAGTTAGACCATCTACATCTAACTACCATCAAAATTCTAATCAATATCCTCCCAGACCATCTGTAATACGACCAAATGCGCCTAACGCGAGTGCGCCAAGCCCTCTGTAATTCAGAGCAATCCAAATTTCAAAACCCTAATTTTCAAAGAAATTTTAGACCAAATCCTCCCAATCGAATTAATTATGTCGCCCCTGATTCTTACGATTATTCCGACTACGGTGAACCAGACCTATACAACACGGACTACGCTAATGAATATGACGATACCCAACTCCGCCTACACACCTTCCCCATACGATGATTTTAGAGAACCCAGTAACGATTATTGTTACGAATATAATCAAACCGCCGATACATTTGTTGGCGAACTTAGCGAATCTCAGTGTCGAGGACCCGAACGCGAAACCGTGTGCGAGCGTCAGCAACACATGCGATCAGATGTTCATATAAACCCTCCGTTTATAGTCCCGTCGACAATTCACCCAGTTAGCCCAGACAACTTATATTACATTAAAGATGCTACTGGAAAATTCCAAATTCTCATTGACAGTGGTGCAGGTTGCTCCATTTTCAAACGTAACACTTGTCAAAATTATACTAATCGTGTCGCAGAAAATATCTCTATCCGAGGTATTACTGACGAAAAAATTAGTATTACCGAAGCAGTCTTAGTCCCATTTGCTCCCAATGATTATCACAAAATTGTCCATGATCTAGATATTTCATTCGATGGCCTTCTTGGGTCATTTTCTTGAACATTATGATTGTATTATTGATTTGAAAAATCGTCAATTGATTACAAATTTCAAAACAGTCCCTCTTTTCAAAGTAGGTGACGAAAATAATTCCAAAGCTTCTCAATTTAAAGAAAAGTCCCAAGCTTCGCAATTTAAAGAAAATTCTCAAGTTCAAAATGTTATTTCCATTCCTCCCAGAGTTGAACAAGTTGTCAAGCTCAAATCCGAGCTTAGAAATACTGAAGCCATTCTTCTGGCGTGTGAGGTAGAAAAAGTCCGTCTACCCAGTTCCATAGTTAAAATTGATTCTAAAGGCGAATTCCTTACTACAGTATTAAACTGTAATGCCATTCCA